GGGAGGGAGGGAGGCTGTATCAGGCCATACCCACACTGACCCAGGTAAGAGAATGAGGGAAATTCAGGGGAGGGCTGGAGAAGCAGAGTCTGGAACTTGCAGCTTTGGCCTTTGGTTTGCCTCACTTTTGAGGCATTCATGGGGTTCTCCATATGTGTTGCAGATTGAGCCGTGTTTTTATCACCAATCCTAGCATAAAATTCAGCTCCTGGACTCTTCTGCTTCTTCTGTGATAGATGATAGTTCTGATGTCTTGAGGTTGGGTTGGGCTGTCTGCGTTCTCTATGGGGTGACCTGGGGCCAGCTCTGCAGTCTCCATGTGAAAACTCTTTATTCCATCCCCAGAACAGAATTATCAGCCATCTACTATGCATAATGCTGTGGCCAACTCTGAATTCTCTTTTAGCAAAATCACTTAAACTCTTCTCCAACAAAAGTAGGTTGTTTTACTGTAACCCTTTTAAAAAAGTCTTTTGTATACTTTGAACATTACACTACCTTTGAGTTACTGCATTTCTTGACTTACTAAAACACTTTTATTTGGTATCAATTATATTTTTCTTGGCTATCTGGACTGTGTGTTCTGTTGTTCCCCACTTTAAGCCCAATCTGGCATTCTCACACCCTCTCTTTTAAAGACAGCACACAGGGAAATCCCTGCCTGACTTCATGAAGATTTCTTCTTGCTCAGGGTTAGGTTAGAAGTTTTCTGTGCTGTTGGGAGCTCTGCTGCTGAGCAGGATCCCATGGTGTGTTAGATTCTGCAGCAGAAGCACAGAAAGAGAAAATCCTGCAGCTAAACACAGGAACTGAGTGACAACTGTACTTGTGGCCACACAAATGTGTTTCTTTACTTCGAGAAAGCAGGTAAGCAGAAGCAGGGGAGAGGAGCTTCTGAGCAGCAGACCACGGTGAGAACCAGTAAGCAGTAATGTTCATCTTTTCTAAAATCATTTTTTCCCATCCAGTGACAATATTTTTCAAGGCTGGAGGGAGGCCATCCTTCTCAATGTGCCTCTTAGACTACCTGAGTTAGGCCTTTCCCTGCACTTCTGCACGGCAGCTCCTCTGGCTCCAGGCTGCACTGGGGCACAGGGCCAGGCCACAGGGCAGGCAAGCACGGCCTCTAACAGCACCTGTCTGGTGTAGCAAGAAGGGGAATGGGATTGCTCATGGGAGCCCACACTGGCAGCTGCTTGCTCTCCATACCCTCAGATAAACTCAGATGCACTTTTTAGTCTCTCTACCATTGTCTAGTTATGTGGATATGGATTAACAGGGAGATGGATTAAGAGCAATTACATTAGTGAGCAGGAAGGAAGCCAGAAGTCAGTGAGAAGTGGGGCAGAGGAAAGAATGATCAATGATTTTATCCTTGTACAGCATCTCAGTTTTTTGTAGCCTTTTCAGGTGGTATTCACCTCTCCTATTTTTAATCATCAAAAAAAGTTAAGTATCTAAGTGCGTAGGCTCCTTCTATAGCCTGTGCTGAAGGACAAGGTGGGATGAATGTTCCTGCAGGACTGTAATTGTGTAAGACAGGAAGGATGAACCACCTTGTTGAGGTGCCAGGTGTCACTGATGGCAGATAGGACACCTGTCTTGAACAGGATTTAAACTGAGGGTGACAGATCCCGAACTCTCTTAACACTTGTCCCAGAGCATGGGTAGAAGATATTGGAACAGATATGTTTAGTGTCATTTCTGGTCTTTTAAGGAGTATTTGTATATTTGAGAAAAGAATCAAGGTGTTACTAGAAATGCTACTCCACACTCAGCTGTGCAATCATCACACAGGTGACCAGGTCCAAACATTTATAAGGAACCCCTACATTTGACACAACTTGAGCTTGTAACTTCATGGATACAGTGGATATAGTAATGTACTGCTGCAAGCCCTTTAACTACTCAGCTGCCTATTTGAGTAAGCTTGAGATCTAAATGTTTTCATAATTTATTTCAGAACAGATCACTAATGTATAGCCAGAAGTTATGTCTGTCAAAATGCAGCTGACAGCCAATGGTCAGGTACAGGATGAGACCTTATAAAACCTTAAGTCTCAGTCAACTACAAAATTCATATCAGAGGTTCACCTCTGAACAATGCAGTGGAATGGCACAAAAGATGTAACTGAAGTACACTCTGTACACTGGCACAACGTTATATAAAGGAATTCTGCTTTCAAGCAGAAGGGGTGTAGAAAAATGGCTGGTAGCAAACATTGACCAGAAGGTGGCATTAGACACATTAAGTTTTTGATATTCAAAGCTGCACTCACCCTACATGCAGATGCTTTCCTGAATACCTAAGAACACCTTTGTCTTCATTTTTTCAGCCTTTTATTGTTACAATAATCCAAACTGTTCTGCATACCCTCTGGGAATGAGTGAAGATGCTACATATTATCACAAAATAAAGATGCCTACAAATTCTGCAGTAATTGGGCTAATTCTGTGTGAAAACCACTGTTAAGCACATACCAAGACATTATTTAGGAATCCTCTCCCGTGTTAATAAAGGAGTTCTTCTAGGTCATTCTTATCCTCTCCATCAAATGGCAGCAGTTCCCAGCCACCTGCCCCAAAAGCTGATGAGATGCTGGCCAGCACCACATAGGAGGCACTGATAAAATGGATGAAAGAAATACCTCACTGCTCCATCATTGCTTCTACATTACTTTCCCCACTAAGAAACCTGAACAGTATCTTGTTCATGGCAATGGAGACAAATTGTATTACTGAGCTGGCTCAAGATCTTTATTCCTAGCAAGATTAATTTTTAATTGTTTTAAGCCTAATTAAAATTAAGATCATATTAAAGGTTCACTAGTACACTTGATCATTGCAAAGAAGATTATAAATTCAAGTAGTATTGGGGATCAGGGATAACGCAGTGCTGAATGGATGTGGCATTTTTATCAATAGTAAAATTTGTTCTTTGTGCTTTAAATTACTGACTGCTGCAACCTTACGAAGTGCTGAATGTGAAACTAATGATTTGCTTTAGGAGTACGAGTATGAGCTAATGTAGTGCAAACAGAAAAGGCTGATCATAGATTCCCCATTTGCTTTTGTACCAACTGCAGAGCATACACTTCCAGTTGATGGGTATCATCCTGTTGTTGGAAGCTACTATCCTGCCCCACTCTGCCTCCTCAAAATTAACTTGATTAGCAAAAATACAATTCTTTAAATTGTTGGAAGAAGTTGGGTTTGCTATTTAGGGACAGGGGAATACTCATACAAGTTGTTGAGCTGGCAGGTCAAAAGGGGTGACAGTATCTGGTAGGAGAATGGCAAAAGGGCTCCAGAAGCAGCAACTCCACTGTCTGAGCAATGACCATCGCAAAATTCCTTTGGAAAGGCCTGACAGTTTGAGATGCGCAGCAGTGCGTTACAAGGACATGCATGGCTGAACAAATGAAAAAGGGTAATTCAGACTCCAAATACAGACCTTGTTGATTAAATAAAGAAGGACACTATTTACAGCAGAAGACTGGGAATCAAGAGTCCTTAGCCCTACTCTCACACTGCTGCTGCCTGCCTGTGTGACTGTAAGCCTGGCACTTACAGCTGAACATTCTCAGTAAAGCAGGATTAAAAACATTCTCACAGCCCTGTAAAGCACCATGAAATCTGTGAATAGTGTGCACTCTAAATGCAAGTATAATCATTAAAGTATTTATTAAAGCAACATGTGAAGGCTATTCACTACCAAAATACGACTTCCTTTGCTAGCTCTATATACTCATTAACCAAAAGCATTTTATGGAACATAACTGCTGGTCAGAGGAGACAGGTCACAGTTCAAGAAAGTTCTGAAGTAGACAGATTTGAGGTGGTTGTAAGAAAGGTGGTTGTATGGAATCAGGCAGCTAATTGAACTAGCTCTCCAAATGTCTGCAGTTTTTGTACAAAAAAGTCTAAGCAAATAACTGTCAGCAAAGAAAGTTCCTGTGCTAAGAAGTCTGAATGCAGAGTGAAGGAAGAGGGACATTCCCCAGTCAATTTGTGAAGATTTCCTAGCCCTTAATTAGCCAGTTAAATAGAATATTGCATAATATAAAGCTTGTATGTAAGTGGTACCTGTCCTGGACTGAGTGTAACAACATGGGCTGTTGAGTTCCTAAACTTGGGAAAGCGTTTCAGATCAGGGTTGGCAATGTTGACTTTGCTGAATATGCTGGATTCCTCATAAGGGATCCTGGTAGGATAAAGGAAACTGGTGTCACCAGGTGGAAAGAGGTGCCATCTCTTCCTGAAAATAGAGAGAAGATAAAAATGTATGCAGTGCATGTCTCTTGCAGCAAAGAACTAAAGGCAGTAGCAAGGTTTTCAATAAAACATAAATCTGCCTCGCTGTGTGAATCTCCTACGCAGTGAGAACACAGCCAGTGCTTACAGACTGTCTCCTGAAAGTGTTTTTAAAATATTCCACTTTTTAATTTTTTAACTGAAAAGATTTATAGCTTCTCACCAATCATTTTTAAAGGCAGATAAAATAAAATTTAAAAAACCTCTCCCATCTGGTTTCTTCTTCCTTTTTACATGCAGCATTTACAGATGCTCAGAGCATTAAAAACTGCTCTATAAATGAAATAGTTTTGTTACAGACAATGTATTTTTGTTCACTGAATAAAAACCTTTCAAAATCTGTATTTGTTTTGAAGGGAGGGCATTGTGTGTTTAGGATGGCACAACAGTAGAAGGGTATAGACATTATCTTCTGTTTCCTGCAGTTCTTACATGGCTGTTAGTTGTGAACCCCACATTCTTAGTAAAAATCACCTTGACGTTCCTATGCCAAAGATGGCCAAAATAAAATGATGGCATAAATAAAAATAAATAAAAACAGATACATCCATAGACAACCATCCTTAAACATCTGTAATTTTTTGTGTTATCAGTACCACATAATGAAAATGTGGCTGGTAATGCATTTAAGAACTTACTGGTGTGACTACATGCCAGATGGAGCAGGACAGGGATGTTTTGCTCATAAGGGTACTTGTGCCAGGTTGCTCTCTACATACCCAAAGAACCACATGAATGCACCACAGTGCAAGGCCAAGCAGAGCTGAGACCACACTTTGGAGCTAATATCTCTATTTCACTTACACAGACCAGATCAAAGAGGAAAAAAAAAAGAATATGCTAGAACCGGTGGTGCCAGTTTTATGGGTATCATAAATTAAATAGCTTCATTATATGTACATATATTTATTTATTTATTTATTTATATATCGAATAATTAGAAATTTAAATATAGGTATTTAGAAATAGAAGTTTTATATGGCAGTACTCTGGGTGATAGAAATAACCAGGAGGAATACACAAAGAGAATTTATTACATTTAAGAGGTGCCAGACAAAGAGTACAGCATGACTAATCCACTAAGCAATGGAAAAGTAAAGGCAGGACTTTTACAGCACAGCTGGAAAGCTTGTGTAGCTCTTCTCTTTGTTTTGGACTCTAGCAAGGGCTTTTCTTTGTCTTTTCCCTTGGCACTTGATTCTTGAATTTTGTCTGCTGCTTCTGGTTGTCAGTTCTAAGTCACAGATCTGAAAATGGGAGCAAAGCAACCAAATGGCACAAAAGCAGAAGGGACAGGAACAGAAGAAACAGGAATAGCAGGATAGTCAGAACTACAGACACCAGCACAGATGCAAGTGCCATAGGCTGCTGATATTTCTTGGTAATTACCAAAGAGACTGCTGGATGCAAGCATAAAACCACTTCTCCTGAAACTCAAGCCTTTTTGCAACTTTACTTTGCCCTCCAAGCTAGATCCTCTGAGGGGCAGAGAATGACTAGGTTAGGAGGCACAGGGTTAATCCTGCAGGCTCACAACAAAGCAATATCATAAAGCAAAAAATTAAGAAGCCTGAGGGATGCAAGGAGGAAATTCAAGATAGCAACAAAGGGCTAAGGAGTTGTCCCTGGCTCTCCTGCAAAGGCAAATCTATTTAAGTTTAGCATAAGCTTATATTCTGTTACAAAGCCTGTCTTGTTTGTGAGTCTCAAAAGGGAATCTTTCTGCTCTGAAGAAGCAGAGGATTCACAAGCTTGTGGAAGTTTGAAATCTATTTAAAGTCTTTGTTCTGAAAATGAAAACAACTTTGTCTTTTCAGGCTGTGCAAAGACTTTGGATTTCTTTCCCTGAGAGGAACAAGGATTTTGGTCTACTTGAGGGTGAGGTGCCTTGGGAAGGTGGACAAAATTGCTGCTGAAACTCTGGCTTGAGTTCAACATCTGAAGATAGAGATTGAAGAGGCTTGGCAGGTATTGCGTCTGCTACATCACTGTACTTATTTAGTACACACAGCATTTAAGTGGATATTTAGAAGATTATGGCATTTAAGTCTCATGGTTTTCATTGAGATTTCTGGCTCCTGAATACAATGAAGTGTCTGGACTTCAATGCACAATGCTCACAGATGTGATCAGAAGTGTACAGGATTGGCTGCAGCACAGCAGTGCTAAGGGAGGCTTCTAGAATGTCTCTGCTGCACATCCACCCAAGGACTTCAAGGCTGTTTACAAACATGAATGAAAACCCTACACAGAGTTACTCTTCTTAGGGGTAAGATGATGACAAATTCATTTACCTCAGGCCTTAAAGCCAGTCAGCATGTGGCACTGCCCAGATAGAAGGCAACATGCCTGAATTCCAATCCTGCACCTAAATCACACCACCACCATGATCAGAGTAAAACAGGAGAGTAATTAATCCCACTGAAAACCCCCTAGCAAAATACTCCTTCCACTCTGTCAAACTTAAAAAGTGTGTGCTACTTGTTCAGTTACTCTAGCACTACTCTAGCAATAATAGATAACAACCCAAAAACCAAAAAAAACCCTGAGGCCAATATGCAAGGAAAGGAGAAAAAAAAAGAATGGGGAAAAAAAAAAGAACGCATGCAAACAGGCAGAAAGATACAGCAACAGCCACAAGCTCCCAAATGAGTTTGGAGCCTCAAATGTCCCTTTCAACTTTGCTCACAGCTGGCTTCTCCCATCCTGATGGTCCCCTTTTAAATTAATTCTAGCAGGCTATTAGAGGCTCTTGCACAGACAATATTGTAAAAGTCTAAAGTAGTTTATTTCTATTTTGTTTGGGGGCTTTTTACTTTTAACTCTTTTATCTCCTAATTCCAAATTCCTGAATTCATTACTAGGAAGATTAAAGTGTTTGTAACTGGACCATATGACACACCGACAAGAAAATAAAATCGTGTTAACTCCATGAACCAGACAAAGTAAAGAAGTTTTACCATTTCCTATTGAGCAGTTATAATGCTCTTCAATCATTGAGAACACAGAAAACTAAAATAATCAGGACCTAGAATTAGTACAAAGAGTCCAAAACTGGTAGAGTCCAAAAATGGTAGAACTCTCCCATGTATTTGCTGTATGTATGTGCACTTGTTACCTTCCTTGTACTTGCAACACTAAGTTGCAGCCGTAGGAGTCCAAATGGCAGGGAGTGTTTGCTCCTTCAGAACCAATCCACAGCGTGCTCTCTTTTCCACTTCTTCCAGGAAAACCAAAGTCAGACCACCTTACATCCTACAGCAACAAAAAGGTTTATTTATGCAAGCTGTTGAACTGATTCACATCCTGTCCTTAGTTCTGAGAGTCTCCTGTCTTCTCCTTCCACTGCTTATCACTCTTTATCCACTGCAGCTGTTTTTCCATGGTAGGATTCTGGAGCACTCATAGTCCATTCCCCTTCCTCCAAAATTCTCACCCCCACCTTCCATACCACTCAAGTTACTCCTTTGCTCTACAAATGGGTTGCCCAAATTCTCATGGTGACATGGGGCTTCTTTTCCTTCTCAAACACTCTTTTTTATCTTTCTCCACCCTTAACCATCCACCCAAACTCAGGATTGCTTTTAGAAAAATTCTTATATATGGCATTTAAAAAGATAATGAAAGGAAAGAAGGAAAGAAAAATCCCTGTTCCTTTTTGAAACAATTGGTAATATATGTGGATTTTTTGCTTTCTCTTTGCTCCTATTTCAGCTATCTCCACATAGTCTGGGAACACAGACTTTACCCCATCTGTGACCCAGTGTTATGACAGGTTAAGTTTTTTATTATTTAATGGACACATTTGCAACTGCAGAGACAGTGAACTTAAAACAACTTTATGACAGGGTGAGAGAGGGCAGAACAGGTGTGCATTTATTATGAACACAGTCCTGGATCTTTCCAGAACGTTGATCCTCCTACAACCAATCCCTGGGGCTAACAGATTGGATAGAGGCACAGTGAGGTATTTTTCAGACAATCCAAGGGTTTTGCAGAATGGTTCTGTGTAGCTTGGATAAAGCTTTCCAATGTATCTACAGCTCTCCCTGCCACCTGCAGGGCCTGATCATTTGTTTTTATTGGAAAGCACTTGAGGAATACCAGCCAGAGATACTGGCACCTTTTGGCTGGAGCCCCAGACTGAGCCTTAGGAAACAGATTAAATTTCTGGCTTTCTGATAGTCTTGGGCAAATCGCTTCATCTCTGAGTTTCATTTTTCCCATCTTGAAAAGGAAGATAATGGTATTTGTTCCATTTCAGTAAAGCACTTTGGGGTCATTCACATCACCTAACTTTAGGAACCTAATTTAAGCTTGGCTCCTGCTCTACTCAAAGCACTCTCAATCAAGCTTTGGAAAAGCCTCCCTCTTTCTGCTGTCTATAAAGAGAAATGGGAGTCTAGGAGTCCTAATTCAAGTATGTAAGCTTTCTGCTTGCAGAAAGGTGGATGACTATCCTTTTTTAAGATCTATGGACGAGGTAAACTACAGCTAGACATTATAAGGATGACTTTACCATGACTCTGTATCAGGAAACCCTCAAAATGAGTGATAACCTTTCCAAAAATTAGGTATTGCTAAAGATTCTGAATTCCAGAGTTATTGATTTTAAAGATATCATTTGAAAAAAGTGCAGAAGTGTAATATAAACATTTGTCAAAGACAGCAAAAGATCAAAAAGAAGAAGTTGCTCCTATAGATTTCAGCGGGCATAAAATTTGAAATTCAATACAACTATTTCAGTGAAAAAGTTAAGCGTAACACCATTTCTACACTTTAATCTCACACCTAAATAGTTTTTATATTTTGTTACAATTTAAGTGAAAAGAAAGCACACATAATCAATATTAGATTTAAAAGAACTTTTTGAAAATGCTGCTGCTGTAGTAAGTAGTTGAAGCGATTATGGGTAAAATAGTTTTTAACCAATGAACTGAAAAGGAACTGGTAGTATTACTGAAATCTTGTCACACTGGGTTCCTTTTCTACAATAAAAAGCCACAGGAAGAAGAAATGCACTAAAAGGTGTTCCAACCATAACAGATGGCACATTACTTGTGATATATATTTATTTCATTTGCTGCTTATAATGAAGTTAATCTGTACTCGTACGTCACTTTAAAAGGTCTCATTTCTATTTAAACTTCATGCATGTATCTTGCTCCTGATTTATATCTCAAATTCTGTAATGAAATATCAACTGAACAAAAAATGTAAGATGCTAGATATTGCTCATAGATTAGAATAATGGAATCATTACCTTAGCCCACACAACTGTAAATGATAAACAGTGCAATCTAAATTTCAAACAACTTCTAAATGGCCCTATTAATCACTATAAATAACAGTGCAGTTGGCCTTCTTCTCCCCTTCAAATAACCTTACGTAAATCTAAATAAAATCTAGAAAGAATAAAAGGAGTTATCATCAAATTCACACAAGAATGGAAGAGAATTTCTACAAAGAACTCTTCTGAATGGTACGAATTGTGTAGCAGTGTTTCCAAAGCCATGCGAGTGTGGAACTGATAGATTCATTTCTCGCCCATGCCTGTGAAAATGGCAGATGAGACACACCATATTTGCTTGCATAACACCACCAATTTTTTCCTTCCCAGATTCTGCTTTTCAAAGAAATCCAAGGCATAACCATTATGGATGTCTATTCTAAAACTGCAGTACAATCTGGTGTGTGTTAGGTCAGGTGATCAGGTTGTGGCATGACACCTGCATAGAAATGCAACTTCTGAAGCCTCAACTTTGTTCTTGAATGGGGGAAAGGGAAAGAAAGAGGTAGAAAAATGGTTGTTTCCTTCAAGTGTGAAGGAAGCAGCAGGATATTCAGGGCTTCTGAGCTGCTATTGGCTTGTGCTGGAAATGTTGCCTTTGGAGGCAGTACAAAGAGAAGACCAAGACAGGACCACAGATAGAGAAAGTTATGCAAAGATCTGGGGAAGCCTGAAACATCCCTGGAATTCCCAATTTAGTTCAGACAACACGAGCAGCCCAAGGTTATGTGACCCTGGTTATGTTTCAGTGTGCTCAGGAAGGGAAGGGGAAAGAAAGGTAAGATGATCTCTGTGTTCAATCCTTACCTTCCGACCCGACAGAAAGTCTGAAAAAAGACTGAAAACCACCAATTTTGCGGGCACAAAAGGATAAAATACATATAAGAAGCATGGGAAATGCTTTCTGAGGAAATAATTAATTTGAGGGGGCTTATCAGTTCATACTCGTTGTCAACCCAGAGATTCAGTGTTTTTACAGGGAATTATGATTCCATTTTCACCTTTCAAAGTATAGAAATGAATAAGGCTTTACTTACTCTTTCTTTGTATCTTTTGAAGAAATACACCTTTTGTATAGCTATCCTTAATTTTGCCCTCTTACAGTTTCCAACGAGAAGTAGCAGGAATGTAGATGAAGCAAGACATTGAAATAGGAGATAGGCAGAGAAAATGAAAGGAATTACCTTGGGTAGTTGTCCTACTATGTATGGTAATTACCACAGATGACGTACTTCCACGAGCAGGTTACTTCCTATATTTTACTGCCTCCACAGAATCTCTCCTCACAGTTAATCTAATTATATTAAGGGAAGGAGCTGAGATGCTTAAAAAAATGAGCCACAAGGCAAAATATGGAGCAAAGCCATGTTACAGCCTTGTTACTACAAGGAAATACATGCCATCAATCCTTCCTCTGGAGTGGAGCTGTTAATTTGGGCACCATTTCGGCACAAGGTGGATCTGGCCTAAATGGGACGGAGAGTGATGCCAACCTGATAGCTCTTTTTTTGTCACTTGGGGTGGTGTTTCTAAATTTATAAGGAGACCCAGAATTTTGATGGCTCCTACTTGGCAGATTTCAGTTAGCCTGAGAGCCAACAGCTTTTATTTCAGAATTTTAAAATAAGTGGCCAAAGGAGCAGAGAGGGATAGCAGTAGAGGTTTCAGAAGCTACACTAGATAATTTGCAATAGTTCAACTAGGAAGAGATAATATTAATGTTTTACCTGGAAAATTTCTGGCTTGTCTTCAAATATCCTGGCGATGTACTTGTAGTCAGCATAAGCCCAGTATTTGGAGTAATCATAACAACTGAATGGTCCAGAGAGACAAGAAGGCTGCCCACAACTCCAAGCCAAAAACTCCTCAAGTGTAGCTTCCACATAGCTACAACTGGTTTCAAACTGGGGAACTAGAGCAACAAAAGAAAAATCAAATATTACATGAGCATAGAACCAGTAAAAATAAAACACAGTTTCTCTCAGCTCTGGTTAAATGCAACATGAGATACGAATCTGACTAGGTAGCTTGACTCTGGTCAATAAAATGGTTCTCATGACCTAACTCATAAGTAAAGTCTGAGACTATTGCTTTTTCATTAAGGTTTAATTGAATGGCTGTTACCTTGAACTTGCTGTGAGACAAAGGCAGACCAATAGTTAGTGTTGTTCTTCAGCACAGTAACTGGATAACACACCCAAGTTTGCTAATCAACTTTGCTTCATCTCCCTTCCTAAGTGTGAGCTGAAAATGTGCACATCAAGTATTTCTGTACCCTTTGTCTCCACAGATTTATGCAGATGGACCTGGTCACCTTACCCTTTCCCTAAAGCAATAACCAAACCAGTGTGGTCATGCATAGAAAGTGAGGTGTGGAACCACATGCATGCTGCCAATGATCCATCTAAAATGCTGCGTGCCCTTATTTTTCATTTGGGACTGACAAAAGCATTTTGCAGTGTTCCTTGGCAGACACAAAAAGTGTTTACCAGCAGGGTTTTTCTCCCAGCATGCTTTGGTCAGGCTGACTGCTACAGCCTTTCAGCTCAAGGTCAGGTCACTTGGAATGTCTGTAAGATAACCCACATCACAGTATACTTTAATTGCAGTTAATCAGAGATCTTTATTTCCCGCTGCCACTAACTGTGCCATCTTCAAAGAGACTTATCCAGTGTTAAAAAAAAAAATATTACTTTACTATAACCACTACTGGGGAAAAATTACTGCAGCTTGCATGAATGACAATGACAGAGCTGCAATTTAATCTTGTGTAACTTGCATAGAGCTGCACAGAAATGGGATCTTTCACTGTTGTACAGCAGCAGCTCTTCATTCTTTACCACTTTCGTTTTGTTACTGCAGCAATTCTCACAGAGTCTCATACAGCTTTTACAAATCTCTATCACTATTTTTTTGCTGTTTTCCATTGTAGTAACATAGGTAGTAGTTTCTTTCCCACTACTATCAAATCATTAACTAAAAATGTCAGATAAGCCTCGTTATTTAACAGTGTGTAACCTAGGTCTGTGCAGTGGATGGGCTCCCTACCTAAGGACTGCATACAAGACACAAAAATCACTTTAAATTCACAAAATAACAACCAAAACCCTCTGTACTGGTTCCCATATCTGTGTTGCAGTCCCTCTCCTGATACCCAGTTTTTAATGCAATGTGTATCATTTTACTAAAAGGTGGTCTGACAGAAAAATTAGACAAAAGATACAAGCACTACTGAGGGTGCCTCAATATCTGTTTTACTTTCATGAGAAGTAAGAGTGTGTAGGACACTGCCTATTTTCCAAGATAGCTCAGAATAAAATGTTTTGAGGGCAAAAAATATGCTCTTTCTACCTCTCAACATATTTCACTCTGAGTTTCATTTTAAAAAAATCCAACTATGAAAGGCAAGACTATCTTGTAGAATACAATCTTCTCAGGGCAGGGCTCTTGGTTTGATTTATACCTTATTCAGTACCAAGGTATGGGTGCTTATGGAAAAATAAATAGTAATAAAAAAAATATTTGGGCAATCTAGACAGTTTGCTTAGATGAGTTTGCAGGCTGCAACAAGGGTGAAAATATTATCAATGACCAACTGAAGGCAAGAACATTATTAACCAGTTTTCTAATACTTAATGACTTAAAGGTGAGGGTGTTTTGTAATTGACAATTTGCAGATTAAACCATGCAAGTCTAAAGCAGGCTGCCAGTTCTGTCTGACTACATGGTACCTGAAGGCATAAGAGTCCTCTACTTTCCCTTAATACCACAGATAGAAATTGGAAGGAAGGAGAGAGGGAAAAAGTGGGTTTTGGAGAAGCAGCTCTCCTCCGTAGTTAAGGTCTGGTTCTGACAGTTGCCAAAACCTGTTCTTCTCAGAGTGTTTTCAATGTGTACTAAGGAAAATGTAGAAAAAGAAGGTGTAATAGCCATAGAAAACCCCTAAAACTCCATTAAGAACGTAAATGAAAGGTCTTCTCCATTTCTTGAAAGAAAACCAAACCCCTATTCATAGCTGCTGGGGAATTAAACAAACAGTCCAAGCAAGGAATAGCTATTATAACAAAGCACAGACATACTCACAACTCACAAACAAAAAAACCTGGCCATGCATATCCAACTCCAATAACCACTTCAGATCTCAGCTTTATGCAACATTTAATCTGTGTACGGTATTTGTACTGTATTTTCAGCCTCCTATTCAGCTACTAGTTGTACAACAACCTTTGCAGTCTCCCTCTATATCAAACCTCAGAGACCTGAATTCTTTTGCCATCCTTAGTGGTAAAACCTCTTGGCAAGATGGTAAAGTTGCAGCCCTTTCCTACCCAACTGCACATCTGACAGCATGAGCTCTATCCAGCATCAGTAAAATAAACATCCTCCAGAGATCTTGTGACTCAGAAACTGATCAGCATGACAGCTTCTTGTTCACTCCAGCTCCTTCACAGTAAACTCATTGTTGATTAATTTTACTATGCAACCACCGAAAATGGTCAAAACAAGAAATGTCTGCATACAGGAGTCAGTTCTGTGTAAGTTTTCTTCTTACTTTATGCTGGCGTACTCCAGGTAGCCATCAGACAGAATGGCTATAATGCTGCATTTGCTCTGTCAGAAGTGAGACTTCTTATCTTTGGCCTATCCTTTGCTCCATATCAGAAAAATAAATATTTTAGTGTGGCTGGAACCAGATGGGAAGGGATTTCCTGATTAACAGCACCTTCACTGTTCTTGCAATGAACTCTGGTACTCTCTTTGAAGGTATCTTTTTTCAATGCTTACTCCTCTGATTGTATTTTTTCCCCCTTATGGACACTAACTGTTTAACTTGTGTAATCAGACAGAATACTATCAAACACACACTTAGGTACAAATAATGTACACAAATAATACTGCTCTCACATTTTCCCATGTTTCAAATGTACCATCCACATTGATATGCCCCAGGAAGTTACAAACTTTTAAGAAAAGCAAATACAAAGTCCATGCAACTTCCACCAAGTTGACACATTTCCAATTCTCACTTTTGTACATTAAGGAATCTTCAGCTTGGGAAACCCATCCAGGCTGCAGATGTGGCACTAAAGAAAGATGAGAAGTTGCTGTAGTAAGAGGTCTCCATTAATTTTGAGTCTTCCAGATGAACCTCTATCCAGATGAATAGCTTAAATAACCTCAGAAACTTTGAAGCTGACATTTCAGAGTGTCACCAAAATACGCCTTTAAGCAGGAGAGTGGATTTTTTCTTCTAAATTTCCAACTCCATAGTAGGAGTAGTCCCACCTTGTCTTAAGGCAATAAACCCTTTGTGAACATGGAAGGAATATTCAGGGAGAAATCAATGCAATTTTAGTTGCATTCTAAACTAAAAATTCTGTTCTCACTGTAACTACTGGCTCAATTTCACCTAGGAAAGTTAGCAGGAACAATAATAAAGAGAGGCCCTCATTAAAAGTAGTTTTAAGCATGCAAGAGTGAGATCAATCACCTTCCAAATGACAGTGGCACATGGAATGTATTACATTATTTCAGACTCTGAAATGGCTTGGATAATGGCTTCACTAATATATTCTTACACTGAAATTTTTTACAGCATCACAGGTCTCATTCAGTTACAGTATAACCCCTGAAAGCTGTACCCATCTCCTTGAAGACAATTCTAACCAATATTACCACATAATGGAGGTTCCTGGAGACAAACTGATTGCTGCACAGGGATAAATGCCTTTAGGAAAAACGCAAAATGCAGATAGATGCTTCAAGATATAAATTCCAATTTAAATCCACTCTGTATCCCTAGTGACTACAAGTTATTGTTAAGTGATGACTCTTACCTACTCAGTTGGTAGCACCAATCTGTGACTCAGAGACATAACACTCCATCAGTCCCATCAGAAACTCTGCCAGTAGGAACATCCATCTGGCTCTCAAAAAGTGCCTACTAATTAATGGAGAGTAGGACCAAAACTACTCTTTTACCTGGCAGGCCTTGTGTGTTATAACTCAGATATATTAACAAGGTATCAAGGGAAGTGTCTCATATATATATATATATATATATATATGTGTGTGTGTGTGTGTATAGATATATATATATATGTATGTATGTATGTATATACATAGAATATATATATCCTACACCTTCTCTCTTGGCAATAGGATGCATTTCACACTTAGTGCAAGAATTAGGTGGTACCTCACTGAACTACTGAGATCTTGCTATGAAGATGTGTACCAAGGTTTTAATCCTACAACTCAGTTTTCCCATCTGTAGAAAGTGAGTAAACAGTATCTGTTCTCCTCAGGAATAGCATAGAAATTATTAATCCATGCTGGCAAAATGTGTTGAAATCCTAACACACCAAACATTTTCCCTCTAACACCTGTTTCATCACTTCTTCTGCAAAAATTGAACATGAAATAACATAGTTATGATGCTGTGAAGAAAGAAAATTTCACAATGTTAAGAAAGATAGTATGATGTAATCCCATCACTTTCACTGCAACCGGCAGACCCTCATCTGGAGTCTTTGTGCAGACTCTACATTCCAAGAAAGAGGAAGAGCAACTGAAAAAGGTTAGAAGACTACAGAAAGAATAGCTGGATGGGTTTAAAAGACCATGACATATTAAGTATTTCTGAAGTGAATTTTTCTGGCCTAAGGGTTAAAAAAAAAATCCTGAAGTTAGTCAAGATACTTTATAGGCAAAAGGGAGAAAATGCATGGCAAAATGTATTTTGATATGTCATTGGGAGGGCAAAGGATATAAAGGGCAGGAATAAAGCAGTGCATAACCTTCCAAGTGGATAGCAGATTACCACCTTGGAACATGTTTCTTCTATCTTCCCTTCATGGTGTGAAACTCAGTCTGTCCCTGGACACACTACTGAGATGAAATTGTAGTATTTAAAATTAAGTTGGAAAATTGTCTTTCTCCAATGGCATGCTCCAAGATATATGAGTGAATCTGGAGGGCTAGCATAGAAATTATTGCACTGGTGTAAAATGATTTTCTTAATGCTTTATACTTCCATCACATCTTTCATCACAGGGCCTTAAAGTACTGAAAATCACCTAAGTCTTAAAAAACTCTGGAGGAAGGTGAGAATTACCACCTTTACAGATAAAAACCCCAAGTCAGGCTAATTATTTAGATAATTTCTTAACACAGTCAGGCTTATGGATATGGAAACTCAGCTCATGTGAACAGTCTAATCATGTAATCTTGCAAGACCAGGAGCAAACACACATACTACAAAGCGAGGAAGGAAAACTGAGAGGCTTGGTTCTTAAATGCTGGTGTGCACCAGACCTTCTACAAAGAATAAACACATGAGAAAGGGAAGGGAGAGTTCTACTGCTGGCCAAATCTCATTCCTAAAAACAAAGCCTGCAATGAAAAGCAATACATTAGAGAGAGAACAGTTATAATGAAAAGGCAGATAATTGCAGGACTTAAAAAAGAGACTTGTGACATTAATGCCTGTCCACCTCATTCTCACCTAAATCCACTGTCTTCAGGCCCAGCCTAAACTGGATTGTCTTTCCCTCCAACATGGCAGAAAGGTATTTCACATTCCAGTGCAGGGCTGGCCAGTCACCAACCATGTTACAGAAGACTGCAGGTTGCTTTAGAGACATCACAATTTCCTTGGTTTTCTCAGGAGGAAAAGGTTTGACATCTTCATCTATGTAAAGAAAAAAACAGATAGAGATCATTTATCATACGTGAAGCATTACCTATCATCTTCCACAGGACAGAAAACATTAGGAATTAAGACCTCCTTTGTTTATGATTGATTATTTTATTACATTTGTGAATTTTTTTTAAAATCAAAGTTGTACTGCAAACACTGGAAGATGTAAATTAAAGTTTAAAGCAGTGTATTAGCATATAAAATGTAAAGCAAAAAATAAAAATAGGCACATGCTTACAATTTTCACTTGTATCTTAGACAATAAAGCACTGTAGCTAAATTGCTTAGAAACAGACTAACAATAAAATAAACTTTCAAATAACGTCCACTGTTTAGAGAACATAAATTTAATGAGTAACAGTCTTTCTGCATGGGATTTTTTTCCAAAATCGTTGTGTATTGTTAGAGATAGGAAACCAGCTTCCCATGCATTTTCTTTAAACAAAGGAACAGTAGCATAACCAACTAGCAGGTATTTTTAGGTGCTTTAAGGTTTCATCAATAGAATTTTAGAAAAAGGAAGTTGTGCCGATCCAAGAACTAAACTAACCCAAGATTTCCATTTATTCCTTTGCTGTTTAGAGATTTATATGCCCCACTGAAACTGTCAAGCTGAAATGCTGGCAATCTTGAATTAACTCAGCACTTTCAGAACAACTTTTCTTTAGGGACCTATTCAGAAGGAAAATCTGAGTTTTTTAAAAAAAGGAATAACATCTCCATAGAGCTGAAGAGGTGGACTACAGCTTCAGATCATAAAAAAATCCATTCATTATTTTAACCTCTATTGAAGTTAACTCATCCAGAATTTGTATCTGTATAATGGCTAAGATTTAACATACTGAACTGATACATATGGCTCCCTGTGACTTCCAGCAGTTTATTTAAAACAAACAATCCAATTCAATTCAATCATTGTATTTAGGGGTCAAATGATGGTCTGGCATGCACGATGAGTTAAATAAATACAGGCCAAGAAAATTTCCTTCACTGCTGGCTGCTAATTTTGCTTGTTGATGCTCCCCATGTGTGAGAGGCAGCAGAGAACCACCCAGTCGCACATGGGGCAACCCTGTGGAGCCAGCTGGGGAGAACACAGAAGATGACCCACTGGGAACAATGTCACTGAGAAATGATCTTCAGGATTAATTCAAATGCAACAAAAATCCTAAATAAATCTATGAATGCTTAAGTGGGAACGGGAGGAATAATAGGTGTCCTGTGTATGCTGGGTGCTGTATCTTGTTGGCAACTTTTGTGAGTCCCTCTTCTTTTGACAGGGTTTATAATCCCACATAGATGTGCTTTTTGGTTTTCTAAATTAAGCTGCTATCTTCACACAAACTCAGTGGGTGGTATTTGGGCTGGGATTTCCTAGAGTCAATGGATCTCTTTTTCCACTGACTTCCAGGGAAACCAAATCCTTCACTTTTCACTCATGAAAACTCCATTCTAAAGCTTTAAAACTAAAGGCCTCTGGTATTTTATCTTCGTGGAACATAAAATTTTTAAATGGCTTCTCTTTCCAAAGGCAGATGACAGGAGGGAGCTTGGATTTTGGTTTGTTTTCCACATTTTCTCTCATACGCAGAGCAACACTTGACAGGATGGTGTTGCTGTGACACAGAGATGTCTCTGACACTTGGCCTCCAGTCTCACACTCCAGCAACTTACACAACCAGGACATAAGGAGGCCTCACAGGGACCGTATGTCTCACCATATGGTGTTCCCTACCCCTGGGAGGAGGCTCTGGGGCTTTCCAAGGAATAGGTTAGCATACCTAGAGGGAGCAGGTCCAGAGAAGGCAGAAAGACCATCTGCAGACACAAGGGAACGTGTGGTGCAGCTACCAGGGCTGGCTGGAGGCACGGTAAGAGGTTAAAGCTCAGTATGTTTTTTCACATTGATTCTGCTCAAGAGCTAACACAAACCTTGGTCCAGATCTGAACACCCCCAGGGGGTTTATAAAACTCCTGTCTTTCATCAGTGCAATTATAATATTGTACAGAGGTGGCTTTCACCATGTGGGAGCTGGCAGGCCTTACCTACCTTTCAGATTTTCCAGCTCATAAAAATGAAATTACTTCTTCTTAGGCCATGTTTATCACTGTATGGCTGTCTTTCTGACTATTCATGGGTTTTTTGCTTTAAGGGCACTACATTTCAGTATTTTAGAGGATATAAACTGAAATAAATGCAAGAAATCGATGACACTTCTCTGGAGGATTTTGTAAAGCTGACTTTTATTGCAAAAGCTTCAGGTTTATCCTGTAAACTTTAGTCAACAGCTGGGCTGTTCTACAAAAGCAGAAATTTTACTGAAAGAGACAGGAAGGCTCTTTGAAGCCAACTGTTGATTCTGTGTGGCTTTCTAATGTGATTTCCACATGCACATCATGCTTTTGCAAGGTGTGGTTTTAACCACAGTGCATACACACACAATGGGAAGCTCAGAGCTGAAGCTACTGGGAGAGTAGGCCACTGGCAAACACAATTAGGCTAATAGCCTCTCCTCTACTGAATGATTGTCATGTCACCATGTTCAGCAGTACATGTATTTCCCTATAAAATTAAGAAAAAGTGAAAGAGGATAGTCTGTCTTACTAAGATGCTAGTAATTCCTATCTTCAAACAGTATTAAAATCTTTGTTAAATAAGTATATATCTTCTGATGTAGATAATCACATACCATACATATAATGCACAGTGACATTTGAAACATTTTAGAAAATTTAAAGACTTAAATATACATCAGGGATTTTTGAAAAGACAAATGCAGATTTCTTGCTAGATCTGTGTAAAGAATCTGTGTCTTCATTTGCCTTCATGTATTCCTTAGTGAGAATGGAGTCAGCTAAACAAAATTCTTTCCCTACAACACTTGTCATGCATATCTAAGTGCCTGCTAGAGAGAAGAACATGGTAAAAGGTAAGTATCATGTACTACAGCAAATAGATATCATGATAATTTGGAGAACTCTGCTCAAAACCAACAGAGACTTCTGATGGAATCATATGCTGTAGAATGGTAAAAAGTAATTACAAGAGATATCTGAAGATAGAAGACCTGAAGAGAGATTAGCAGGATTATAGTTTAAAATAATCTTTTCCTCAGTTATTGTTATCATAGCTTCACAAAGACCTTATAAACAGGGCTGTTGCTTCTTGGTATTTTATAGCCTGAGGTTGATGGTAATTGAATCCAAGGCAAAACCTGAGGTTGTGTAGCATATGTAAGTACATACAGTTTGGATACAGATGTGCACAAGTAAAAGGTGAATAAACAAAATGCGTAGCAAAGAAGAAAAAGTATCCACAGCACATCTTAGACATTAAATATCAAATTCCTAGGGGAGATTGGGTAGCAGGAGAGAAGAGAAATGCATATTCCCTTGAAAAAGAAAAGCTCTGTGGGAGTCTTCATTTTCTCAGTTGTACTCTGATCCACAAGAGAAAAGGAATACTTCAGCTTAGTTCTTTCTATCAGGCTCAACAAACGGTTTGACTTCACAGTACAAAAGGAAGCAGAAATAATTTGTCTCATGTTTTGACTTTACCCAAGGCATGTACAGAATCCAACCAGGAACTGAAAAAATGAACCAAGTTTCAGCTCAAGTTTTGTAACTGTGGCAGCTTATATAATTGGCAAAAACATAGGTGTTCTTTAGAAAGGCAACACCTTGCAAAATAGAGATCTCCCAATTAAAAAAAGAAAGCTTTCCAGTTGTCTTTACACAAAGTACTGTCAAATATTAAGCCTCATCCAGACTTAGCAATGAGGACAGGTAAAAGAAATGTAATGAATTGGCCAAGTACTCTCCAGTAGACTTTGTGCTTCTGAAATAGAAAATAATTTAATATTTCTGATTAGCAATTTTTCTGAATAACTGAGTGGGGCTTGGGAATTAAGAGTTTAGCACAGTAGGCAGTCTAACTAAAAGTGGACTTGATCAAAGTTGTTCAGAAGTTAAATGTACTGTCATTAAAAAGCTAAATGTACTGTCATTCATTTAAAATAATTTAGCAAACTATAAGAGTTCATTAGTGTGTGGCAGTTGGCTTCTGCCAAAACACCCTGCTGCTTAAATATGAGATTTAATTGAGAGGTATTAAAATTATTTTCTAAAATAGGGAGTACAAGGAACTCCTGGTAACGTATTTGGTACGTGCATCATCAAACTGTTTTTTCTTGCAAATCTGTAATGCTTCCTTTTCCTTATTTATTTTAAATATATATAAAAAAATAAAATAAAATAATTACATTTTGAATACATCAATACAGAGCAGGCGGGTGAGTCAAAAAATCACCTAATCTCCAAAATCTTAACTGTTCAACAACCAAGAGTGGGAAAAGAGAAGGTATGGGGGAGGATGAGCAAACTTCCCAAACCAAATATAAGTGACTTGGTTTGGAGGTCAGACTTAATGGTTTCACAGTACATTAACTCTGTAAATTAAAAAACCAACTTTAAATAATCTGCATGTGATTACAACACTATGCACTATAATCAGCCTCCTCTGGGCAAACAGAATGCCTCTAAACATCCATGAGTAGTTTTCAGGATAGGCTGCATCAACATCCAGGTATTACTTCCTAGCCAGCTATTGCTGTTGCTATTAGTTTTGACTCTGGGAATGTTAATACTGTAAATGCACACAGCCAGCAGGCAGCTGCCCTATATTTGCAGATGTTTTGGTTACTGAAGGAGAGGTGATAGTTGCATGGAGACTCTCAGGACAAACCAGTCTGCACTCGTAATACTGGCACCTGCAGCTCACTCTGGCAGCCTGCAGCCAACACACCCTTCCTTCCTCTCCGCATCTGCTACCACAGAAGGAGGGCAGCCCAAGAAAGAAAAGAAAGAGGCTAAAAGAGGAATTTGGACTCACTTTCCAGTGCTCCTCTGGCAAGGCTGAGCATCTTACAGTTTTTCTTACAGGATTTTGAAGTGACTTCAGACATGAAATAAGACAGGAATGGGGGCCACGCCCAAACCTCATGCTGTCCTTCAGATAAAGCAATGGGAATTGCTGCC